GTAGGAAATACGAGTGCCTCAACTCAACTACCAACTCCGACTAACCAAAAAACTCTTCGTCCGAGTTAAAGTTTAGTTTAAAAGCTACAAAAATACAACGTGTTTCCAATTTAAAAGCAGATTACCGTCACTAGTGACGTAGACGAACGAATACGAACATCACAACAACAATAGGAACATCTCTTAGTATTCCTGTCGACGCAGATTTTATCGGGCTTTCCATAACTGTAACGCATGCATTTAACAGACAGGTCTCGCCTAGACTTTTGCTGGTAACAACAATAGCATTTATCTTTTTGATGGCTTGACGTAAAATGCAAATCAATAGTTGGGTCGACCCAGTTTTATTTTACCATTATGCATCGCGCTACCGTTTAGGTATTCATGGTATTTTTGACTACACAGCACTGAATGTCGCCCGAGCCTTAGCGACCGCCGGTTTCGCATAAAAATTCATAGAGACACGTGAATAATGCTCGACGGCGCTTTCTCGAATGTTCGGCATCCATACTATGTGTATTTCGTTCAATTTATCGCGGTCATAACTTATATTCTTAGTTTGGACTCTACTATTGTATACAAAGGATATTCGTATATCCTATTTTATAGTAGAAACCAATGCTTTCACCTGTGATTATCATTAGAACATTATTAGCAATGGAATTCATATCTATCCTAAAAATCTACCTATAGGATAGCAATATATATTATTATGACCTCCGTGACGTATCGTCAATGGCGAAACTAGAGTGTGATCGAAGACGGCTGGCAAATCTGAACTTCAGCTGAGATAGTGTGGACCTTATTGGAATGTCTGCCTCCAGGCTGCCGAAGTCTATATTTTACTCTCAGCTAAAAGAGAGTAAGCGGAAGTCTGTAGGAGAGTTTTTTTTAATATAGAGACGACAATAAACGACATCTGACTGCGTGTATACGATAGTACGTAGAATTTAGAACAAGTTCTACTTTAATGTTCTTAAACTTCTTTACTGTAAATTGAACACGCGTAGGAGGATTTCATCCGTTGTCCACAGATTATGTCCGATACAAAAGCGAGTAAAGAAAATAATGTTCCCATCATATTTCTCAGATTATAGACAGGTAGTATTACGTCATCCGTCTGCACATCTTACTGCGCGGCTTCGACAAAATAAACTGGGAACAGCTGCTTATTGTATCGCTGACAGCAAAGCCCTGGTCCGCCATTGTTGGGCTCGTCCTAAGGAAAATAATAGCGACTTACTTGATCCTGAGAGACCACAATACGTCATTATTTCACGCTTATAGACCATGGGACCTTTAACTCTGTTTTCATCGGTTATAGACTGCAAAATTTAAAACAATTGCATTCACATTCTTACTAAGCAGTTACATTTGTTTAAACCTCCTTTAGTAAACAAGATAAATTAAGTTATCTACTTGCAAAAATCTTACTACATAATATTGAAAATGCGAAGGTTTAGATAGATGTTTGATAGAAACTGTAGCCTAAACTGCTAAACGGATCTCGATGAAATTTGACATAGATATAGAGCATAATCGGGAAGAACTCATAGGCTACTTACTTTTGTATTCATTATTTCAGCGCAGACGGAGTCGCGGGCGCAAGCTGTTGTTTCAATAATTTCTTCTACGACGCATTTGATCTCAACTCTAATTTTGTCAGTTGAAAAAAAAGACGGCGGAAATAGGGAAACAGTTTTACTGTTATTTTCTTGAAATATTAATGTTAGTGGTATTGGTACCTGTGACAATATCCATAAAGATATGTGTTAGTTTTAGTGAAACAACAAAGAAGTTGTTTCACTAAAACTAACATGGAGTAATGTAACATACATATAAAAGGATTCAGTTACAGACATAATATCATCTGACATTAATTGTGTTTAACTGATACTTTTCTTTAGATATATCGCAACAAGAATAAAGATTTCGGACCCGAAAAGCTAATGAAGTGTACCGCGAACACTTTACCCGTGTCAGCCTGTCAGAAGCACGTCATATTTCGTATTTTTTCCTCTTTTTTAAGTGTTCACAACGTCGATTTCTGTATGATTTTGATAACGGTCGAATATATCCTAATTCTGTGACACTTTTAGAATCGATATCTACTTTATCTGCATTAATAAAAATTATTATAAATAAATTTGATGATTTGAATTGGCGTCCTTTTAGAAAGTTAAATTTTTACGCAAATTAACTTTAATCAAGTACTCTAGTCAAAAAGTTTTGATTATTATAATAAATATATGATAATTTAAATAAATGATCTGTTTTGTTACGCTATAATTTCGCATCGAACGATAACTTGCTTTCATTTCTTTCTAAACATTGCATTAGTGCAAATATCGTAAAGAAATAAAAAACACTATAAAGAACATTTGCACAAATAAACCCATCAAACCATTATCAGTAATAATAATAAATGAACGAATCGCTTACATTAATGTGTGTCTTAACGTTAATACAAAGGCGTATATTTCAAAAAGCGTTCACCTAACCTGTCACATCGTGTAACAGCGAAGAGTAACATAAAAGGGAAGGTGTAAACATAATACTAATTTGTGTGCTGTACGTCGAAATAAATTGTATATTTTGATACGGTGTCGTGGCTAAGAACATTAGACCTCCAGCGCCGTGGGCCCTGTCTCCGGTTTCGCAGAAGTGTTTTAAGCGACGCTCTCTGATATCCACACAGCCTTTTGAACCGCTTTTTTCTTGTCTTTTTGCTTAAAAAAACGACGACTCGCTTCTCCGAAGTGTCATGTTGTAGTTCAAGTATCGTGTTCCTTTGTAGTGCAATTTAAATTGATATATTAAATTTTTATTCCTACATTAATTGGTCTATAAGATATGCTGCTGTATTCTTTAACAATAAAAATGTTTAATTTTCCATTACATTATTAAATCAACGGCTTTGCTTCTTAAATGATTTGATCTTGAACTTGGAGACTACATTTTTTTACATCCGTCTTATTTCACTTATGATGTAATGAATAACTTCATTTCTCGTGCTTTACAAAAGTTGAAATAAAAGACAGATGCGATGGCCGCATCCCGTCCGCTTGGCTACCGCGTGCACCTGAGCGTCGGCCGGTTGGAAACAAAGAGATCTATTGTACGAGTTACATTGACCCAGAATACGGAGAATTATTATTTAAAACGGTAAATTTGAACATTAACTGGTACTAAGGCTTTAAAATGGCTATAATTTTAAAGGGTCTTTTACATAGAACAAAGTCTAAACGACGGGAATATTATTTGCAAATTATTAGTAATCATCTGTGTTTAGTTAACATTTGGTTTATTTATAAAATTAGACCTAAAGTAAATTATATTGCAGCAAATATAAAAAATGTACCTATTGACAAGGTATGGATAGTTTTTTTTATGTTGTGAAAGGAATTAAATGTAACCTCTCTTAATTACATAATTTCAATAAACGTGACCTATTTAAAGAGGTCATTATGCACAAATTTATATTCGCTTACAAAGTTTTCTCTATAAACAGGTCAATGTTTGACCTGGCGTTAAGTAGGGGACGAAACTTTATAATGTAATCAAGTTTTCAGAAGATATCTTTCGCTCGACAAGTTGAATTTATAAAATTGGATGAAACTGAAATATAATAAAGAGAGACATTTAGTAGTACTTTGTAAAATATAAAAATACAAACCAGTATCTTTATATTCAATTTTAATTGATTAAAGAAACACTCACAATAAAGTCTTGGTAGTCACTTGGGTACGGTAAGTCCGAGTTCATAATCGGACCCCTGTTCGAAACCGGAAAAGAGTGCCAATAGATTTTTCCAAGTAATTTACGATAACATAGACATCTGTGACTTTTATAACACATGAAATATCCAATTAAGTCTAATTATGTTATCTTCTCTAGTCGTGTTTTGTTTAATAATTTTCTTATATTTTGAGATGGATCAAACTCAATTGGTACTTTATTTATTTTAAATTAATGTTTTCTACTCCAGTTCCGTTCTATGTCTCAACCTTTTCTACTTCCTCAATAATAAATCCACAGCATTTTTGCGCAAACACAAACATTTTAAACGAATTTATGCTCTCATAGAATATATAAAAAAAAAACAAATTCGGACGCTAATAAAAGCAGACATCTTCATAACACGGAACAAAAAGTAGCCGCGGAACATCGTGTACAAAAAACGAGCGTCCAAATTCTGCACGATACGTAGACCCTGCACCACTACCTGCTACTTTGTGACATCTTGAATTAGGGTTGCCAGTTAACGCTGTCAGTTTGTATGTTTGTTCATCTATACTACACAAGTATTGTAACATTTTAAAAATGACAGTGTTTTATTTCTTAAAAAAAATACATTCATACATTTAAACTGTACATCTTATAGCTTAGATATTTCATTAAAAGATTTTATATCCTCAGATGAATGTTTCCCACAACCACACATTTATTTCAGCACACTTACTTTCAGAGACAACTAAAGTTTGTACAACTTATAGATGAACAAATTTGACTTTTATCTTCGTATTTAAAAAAATATGCAAATAATTTGCGACAGCCCTAAAAGCTTCATCTGCCACTTGAACGATCGAAAGGTACGACGGCGCGCCGGTATCAGGAAGGAATGTATAGTGGGTGACTTGAACACTTCCTGTCCCTTTCCACCGTAACCGGTGTTCCTTATGCTAAATTTGTTTGCCGTCTCATTCGTACACCAACATTTTCAATACTTACCTGCGCAATGATATACATCTGTTGGTGCGGGTCTCTCGCTCGTACTCACCGCGTCAAATGGATTGTTGATATTGCTGTCTCTTGCCGGCGTCTCGTGACAGGGGGTAGACGGTGTTGGAACGCGCCTGTGTTGGTGTTCGTTTATTTAGTGAACTTGGAAGCTCGCGCTCGTGTTTGTGCATAGGGTGTCGATACGAATGTGTGCGTGAGTTGTAGAGGCGCGACATAGCTTTGCCGTCTCCATGACTTAAAAGTTTTGTACGGAATGAAACAAGCGGGCTAGTTCTGCGCCGGCCGGCACGTTGTACGGACGCGTTTGCCTCGTTCCCGCCGAACTTTATCGTAACTACGAACATAAACTTGTTTTATAAATACAATAATTTTCGACTTTCTATTGAATTTTAGTGTGGGATTATTTATTGATGAAAGGAATTTAGTGACTACGTGATTGATCGTAAACGTGTTATGTTTATTTTTTTGTGAAACTGCAACGTGTATGGTTCAATGGACTATAGAGGTTGGTCGTCATACCATTCTCATGTGCTACAATGTACACAACCAAAAGCTCTGACGTTATATTTATTATTTGGTTATTATTAGTAAAAAAACATAACATAAGAAAAATAAACAGCCAGATTATCTTCAGTAACATTGATAAAAAAGTGATTAATATTAGCCTAAACATATACACAAGAAGTATTTTAAAATTATACTAAAGTATCAAGATTTTTAATCCAATGTTTTTGTAATATGAAAATATAATTCCGTTATATAAATCAAACACACTTCCACATAACATTTTGGTTTGTACAAAATTGCATTTAAAATAAAACACAATGAATTTTGTCATTGTCTCCAGTTCTCGAATTCCGAACTGAACGTTGGGTTGAACAACCGTAAAGTATAAATAGATACAGATTGTACAGAAACGTCGACTAATGTAGACTCCCTCATATAAATCATTAGGCACCGCCGAAATATTTCTTATCTGTGACAGCTCATTCTTAGAGTTAACGTTGCGTTTAAATTATAACTGTAAATACGTTTGTTGATATCACCTTCACATACTGTATACAATTTAACATATAAAATTTAAGCTTATCAGTTTCCGAATAGGAATAGAAAACTTAACCTCTAAAATTCTTGACCACAAACTTGATAATGAATTTATGCAGTAAAAAAGTAACCTCAAAATCATTCAACCCACCATCACAATGATATATGAAATAAAATGAATAATAAAATGGAATAAAATGTTGATTTTAATTACAAAATTACTAAGTATCAATAAATCTATTGAAACCGACAGAATAAATGCTTTCTCGGTTACGTTTAAAACATGACAGATATCTTGAATGAAAAACAATAATTTTTTTTACAAACTCAGAAGTACATAATGAATTAAAATTACCCTAAAATAGACAAAAACCATGGAAGTAAACACTAAGAAAATTTAAATAAAATATGATCATTAAAATGCCTTAATAAGCTTTATCAGAATTAACTAACTAGTCCTTGTTAAAATCATTAAAATGTACATAAAATGTTTCCGTAGGCCTTGAACTGGACTCAGTCTATAAATTGGTCTCGTAATTACACGAATCAGGTTATAGTTAAGTTACAAACCTTCATAGATTTTAATGTTGCTTACTTGAATTAAATAAGTATTATTTTTAAAATGTGTTGAAATTAATACATTTGCTTATGGTTATAAAAAAAGTTTGGTAATTAATTTGTTAAGATTTTAAAGAGGGAAGTCATTTTCGTGTTTCTTGTAAGTATAAAAATGTAAAATTGTTCAATAAAATATTTTGCTTATGTTAAAAAGCAAAATTTTATAATATAATAAAAAAAAAATAGCCGCCATCTCATTACGGTAACGACAGAGACATCCTAAGCCGTGTAAAGCTACTTTTCTTCAGAGCTGATTAAAGCAACGTAACAGGCGGTAAGCCCGTCGTCTTAGAGGTCAAGCCAATGATGTTTTATCGTACACGATTCGAGAATTTATTCCTTTATTTGTTTACATTTTACTTACGGATATTTTACCTACGTAACAATAACAATAAATTTACAGAGACCCATCTAAATATATACTCAAACCGCACATAAAAGTCAAAAAGCAGATTGAATTTGATTGTTGATAAAGTTATCCTCTTACAGACGTTAGTTAAACCTACTTGCATTAAAAAGTTAACAATAAAAGTAACATTGGCTAAAGCTTAAAATCTAAACTCTGTAGTAGCTAATTAAGTGTACAAAATTATTTTTAAGTCTACCATATATATAAAATACCAAAATACATTAACACGATGTACTGTAATAGTAAAGCTTGATAAATAAGTTTTCTTGCAAGTTACTTAATAAATGCAAAAAGAAAACAATTTACTAATTAACTTGCAATCCCTAACAACGGGGTTCTAAATATTAATAACACGGAGTCCATAAAAACTCCGCGCCGTAAACTGACAAACTTTACCCCACAGACATTAAAGTGGCCGTAACGCCCCTTTCAATCCGAACAGAATCTCTCCCATCGCCACGCTGTTACATCTCCTTGTCCGAAACAATTGATATCTCTATTTGTATCAATAATACGGCAGCCAGACGTTTACGTGTAGTTCGTACGTGTGTTGAATGTAGTGGCTTCCCTTCTGAAGCTCTATCACAAACATATTGTTACCGTTTTATAGAATAGTGCTTGGGTTAAGCCATTTTAGTAAATTGCATGACGCATAGTCAAAGACTCTCCTTATGTTTTATATTTCGTTGTGATTTAAAATTTTTATTAAAGGACAAATTGTTTTTTAAATATATATCTATGCTAATGTTATAAAGAGGAAAGATTTGTATTTTTCAATGTATTGGAATAACTCAGAGTACTAAGCAGATTTGAAAAATTCTGTCACCGTTAGAATGGTAATTTATCTATAAGTAACATAGGCTATTTTATCATAGATGTGGTAAAATTCATTTCAAAAACACAAAGGAGAATCCCTTCTTGTCTTCTGTTTAATGAATTGCTAACGAATTGTAAGCCTGTGGTATCTTTGTCTTCACGCAGTTTAATCATTTGTTATTTGTAGGTATTTCTAAATAGTTTTAGGACAAGTCCCTTTGAATCTGAGGAACTTTGTGGTTGCGGTTTACGAACCAATAACGCCTTTGGTAGCATTTAATTGATTTCGTACTCAAGAAACTAATTAGACTTGAGGTCGATGTAACCAAGCTGCGTTAATAATTTAACGGTTACCGGACCTGAAATAATCTTTAACAATTTGTTATTGATTTTCATTAGATGTTTTAGAATTCCAACCTGATTTGTAACAATTACTTTTTTCTTTTTTTTATAAAATAAGGTGGCAAACGAACAAGCGACCACCTGAATCTACCGAAATAAAAAGCGACCGGTGCCAATTGCAGATGTGTTGCCTACCCTTAATTGACGAAGGAGGAGACGCACATAAAGAGGACATTTCCCCTTCCTATGCGTCCCCTCCACCGTCAAATTCATTTTTCCTTTCATATTTTTCTTAGAAGAAAAGGATGGAAAGGGAAAGGGACTAAAATTAGGCCTCCGGCACCACACTCATCAGACGAAACGCGGATTTGCTTCCACTTCACGCCTGTTTTCTGTGTGGTCGTGGTATTACACCGGGTGAGCCGGCCTATTCGTGCGAAGATGTTAAAGCGGACTCTACCACTGTTAAAAGAAAACCACTGTTAAATATATACAATTAACTATCAACTATTAGTTACTATTTATAATATTTGAATACTTAGCTCTAATAAAACCATTATCAACCAGGAAGGGTCGAAAACACCTTTTCAGTTGAAAACTATAACAGTTCTGAATTATAACTTCTATTGTTCTGTAAATTTAATAGAGATATTATTTCTATTTGGTTCCGGTGCTATCGGCCAAACAATATTTATTCAGTTCCCCTGCTAAGGAGCTTACAATTCGCTACCGTTACAGTATTCCATTAATAATTCAAAGTGAATTTTCAACGACCGCAGCCTATCTCTTGTGGGCAACCAATTTATCCACTTGGATTAGAATATTTGTGAGAGAAAAAATCATTTACGTCACAAAACTTTATAAAAAGTATTAATATCTACAGACTGGTGTTACGTGCACAAATAGTAAAGAATATTGATATAAACATAAACAACAACAAAAGGTGGACATTTTTTTGGTTTCCAACATTCGTAGAAGTCCTACCAATTAGTAATATTAAACCAAATCGAAACTGACTTCATTGTTTCGTGCTAAATGCAAATGTAAAAAAAACGTAAGAAGCATTTCTTGTACAAAATTATTACCCATGACGAATAGAATAATGTGAATTTTTAATTCATGTTAAGCATTATAAATATCGTTATAACACTGGCTCATACAAAGATGAAATCCACAGTTTGAAAAACAAATAAAGTGACTTAAGGTAAAGTTAAATTTTAAACAACATACAATTGAACAAATGAGTCAACTGAACAAGGTGATATTTGCGTATCCAATTTACTAAAGATGATACAAAAAAATAACTAAGTATTCACATTTTCCCTCGTACTGTATTAGTAGCGAGTAGCGACCCCCTAAACTGGCGGCAGACGCTCTCAGTACGGCGCGCTTACATCGCGAGTCGTTATACTCGGCGCATGTTCGAGTATAATTTGCTTACCGTAGATGTGACGGCAGATATTTTTATGTGGTTTAATGGCGTGACATGGATACGCGGCGCGGAGGAAACATCGAGTATTGTGTTACCGAACTGAGCGGTCTTTATCGACGCGAAATTTCATTATACTCAAACCCCCCATTCCGCCCACCATTCAATCGGAACACCTTCGTACAATTGGAAGGGCTGCCTCAATGGGTTGTCGGATGAAATTTCTTAACATTCTCCGTCCATAATGAGCGAAGCCTGTCGTACAATGGGCAGCGCTAACGGTGTAATCGTGAAACGAAACGAGATCGACAGATATGAAGGGAGATTAAAAGGCGCTTAATGAAGTCGTACGAAGTAATGTTGCACGAATTCTTAAGATTTAACGAAAATAATTTTAAACTTTTTTACGCTCAAATTTCCCTAAAGCGGCGAGGGAAATACGAAACTTTATAGCCAATTACATAGCCAGTGAAATTCTCGAGAAGAAAGAATTTTAAATGTTTGCTCTACTTGCAAACAATTTACGCCTAAACAAAATTACCAACTGTCAATTTTGTTTCTAGCGTTATTTTTTCCGTAACATATTTTTGACGACACAAGCGAGGACAAGAAAATGTTAATATTTGAAAGTTAATTGCAATTATAATGATCGATTTAGATTTAAAAGCAATTCAGAATTGAGAATCTTAAGATATTTCAGGCTTCGCAAACATAGATTTATTACCGAGTAATACACGCGTCAAGTCAGATATGACTTAAGTTTGTCCGTGGCATAAGGAATAAAAACTAGTTTATTTGTCGGTGAATCAGTAATGAAGACATCATTATAGAACCGGTTCATATAACCGACGAGTCGCTCGGGAGAGATTCCTGTTGCCTACGGTTTTCTCAGAAATATGCCATCGTGTTGCTACGTAGGAATTCGGCGGTGACGACGCTATGAACACTATCATGTAAATGTAACAAACATAAAATAAGATTCAACGAAATTCTGTTATAAGTCACTAATTATCATTTTTAATATTTAAATTCACTCACCTTTTTAACTAACTATTATAAAGAAACACAAATAAAACTTAGTTTATTTTTTTTTAAAGTAAAATTCTATTTCGAATGTACAATAATTTAACAATCATTCATATTTTAAATACTTAAAGGTGTCAAAATAGGCCTAGAAGATTTAAATGTAATACAAAGAAATGTGTACCCTTATGGAAATCCTTTAAGTAACATCAAAGGGGAGATTTAAAATATTTATTTACTCAGAAGGATTTGCCGTCAATTGAACAAAAATCACCAGAGCGATAAAACCGAGGTCATTAATCATACGAAATAAATTTTGAAACCCTCATGTTACATGCATTGAATAGAACTTCACACAACAGCCGCGGAGATAACAACTTTCATTAATAACACGCACAATTACTGCCTTGTTTTATAAACAAAAATAAACTCTATAAAGCATACATCACATGAGACAAATTTTCACTAGAGATTTTCGAACTAATAATTTAAAGAATGAATTACAGAACTAACGAAAAAATCTTTTTATTGGATTGTCGTTTAGAAAAACTTATTTTCAAACAGCTAAAAAGTTTTAATACACAGTATGCCTGTCTGATAAAGATAACTGGACCTCTCTACCCCTTTCTTAGTCCCTTTTTTGAGTCTTATCTATTTAATTCATCTGCGAAGTCTTTCACGTCGGGATCCCTGACCGCATTGAGCGTAGGATATCGGTCACATGACGGCCCGACCCAAAGATTGGAGTTAAATTTACCAGAAGACGTTTATTTATTCGCTGATACCCACGATAATAATCTCTTAGGGTAACTGGATAACGATGAATGATTATTTACTTACGCTTTAATGGATTATAATTTGTGAATTGGAAACTCGATTACGTTTAAAGAGATAATGGTTGGAAATAATACAGGGTGTAATTTTTTAGTCAAGATAATCGATTTAGACCCATTGGCAACCTGGCCTAGTTTTACATAGACTATTGTCAATCATACTTCATACTAATATTATAAAGAGGAGAACTTTGAGTGTAATGAAATATAATCAAAAACTTACTGGGCTGATTTCAAAAATTCTTTCACCATTAAAAAGCTACGTTGTCAGTGAGTGGCATAGCCTATGTTTTATATTATTTTTTAATTTCACGCGGATAAAGTCACGAGCAACAGCTAGTAAACAAAACAATTCGGAGTAACCTTTACGCTATTTTGATGATGAAAATCTGGCTGTAGTTTTAGTAACCAATCGATCGTCTGTCAGTTTATAAATATGAAATAAAAGAGCAACATACCACAAGCCCTGTTGCATCCACGCGCCATACGAGGTGTGCAATAAGCCATTACCGACTCGTGTAATGGTGTTCGCAACCATTACCAGACCCCATACTGCTTTTTTAATGTAAACTCCGCAACTGTCATTTTATTATCCTGTATGTTGATGTTTTTTAACTTCACCATTATATCCCTTATTGGTTTTATTGTGTTGGTAACAATACAGTATTCTATTGTATCGTGTAGAGATAAATTGTGTTTGATAAAATTACTTCTTGTGTGTTTGATTTATAAAACGTATTATAACAGACTTCGAATGTTTTATATGAATATTATAAAATTTTATTAAGGATGTTACAATTTTCCATACTTTCTAACACAATAAACATGAAAAGAAATAGTAATTTAAACCAAACCTTACTCATACTTTAGCAATACATTTATAAAATTCTACGAACAAATGCCGTCGGAGTTTTTGGTTGGAAGATTCTCATAATACCCACATCTATATTGACGTAAAATAATTTCTTTACAGATAACTAAGAGATGTCTACAAGCGATTAGAACATAAGTGTGTTACTTGTAATTTGTGATCAGTTAAAACTATAAAATGTGTGAATCGCGGACTTTGAGTTTGTCTACCGTTGTGGTTCGATGGTTCATATTCGCGCTGCTCGGCTTTGAGTGGCATGTCAACTGTCAAGTGTTACAGCAAACTGCACAAGTTGACAGTTCCTACAATTTCTATTACGAACAACCATGTTGCAGCGGACCTCTGTCTAAAAGCAAATACCACGTGAGACATAAACGAGGTAAGCTTTACTTTATTTGTCTTAAGATATTTCTACATATTAACACAACAAAGAACACAAAATATTTGCGTGTAAATAATAATTGATTAAGGGCATAAATTTTATCTAAAATATCTGTTATGAAATTCTGTTAACTGTAAAACTGATTAATAATAATAATCTATTAGTATTGTGACATATTTTGAAGTATTATTCATAAATCCTACGGAAATCTTGCGAAATCTATAGGCGATGTTCCGGAAAGATGCGTTTCCAAGTCATGATTCATCATTCATGATAATACTGGATACCTCAAACGCACACATGCATATTTGATTGTGTTTGTGATACCTTATTTGTGTGTGTAAATGTAAATGTGCACGCGTATCTAAACACCATCACTAACACATACGCAAGAGTTATTCAAGGGTAACACGTGAGATAGGTATATCGTAAGTTTTGCGGTGTAAAAGAGACGGAATGATTCCATTGTTTCATTGCCCCCGCTGCAATGAAGAGAGAACATAATACAGTTGAAGTTAATGTTGCTCTTGAGAAAAATTGCAACGTGTCATGGCAACTTGTTAAATATATTTTACTTTATGTAAAACATAATTAAATAATCTAACGAAGTAAAGAACTAGAAAATTAAATATTTGTATATTCTTTAAAATAATTAAAATCACTTTATTTTAATTTATCTCTCTTCATAATTTTGCCTTATTAAATTAATATTAAAATTAAGAAAAAAAATGAGTGTTACCATAAATCGGTGTTATAAAAACATTTTAGCAACTTTGAAAGACGTTTAAATTCTTAACTGAGGTTTGCAGAACGTAAAATATTAACGATAAAATTGTAGTTACCATATTTAGTTCCACGAATCATATTAAAAAAGTTGAATTTATTTTGGTCTTTTCGCGAGCTAAAATATATTTTCGTGTAAATTTCGACCGCTTATTTGATTACATAGGAAAAACGTTACACAACAATTTTAGCTTTGACCGCGTTAGTGGACGTTTGGTCATCAAGCCACAATATTAATGCGCAGTTTACCGCTTCCATTAAACATTGCGGCTTTAAACAGTTCGCTGAGAGCTTAATGAATGCGGAAACTTGAATCATTAAGCCTCGTCACACTTAATGAAAATACTATGCATGAATCACACGCGTTACCTGACTGAAACGGTCAAGGGTCTGTGTGAAACGGCTGTGCTAGTATTCATAAAAATAAGTCGTATTTTAAATTGAGAAAAAAAAATTTGAAGCATAGTCAACTACTATGTCATTTACCTTAATATGACTATTGTATTCAATATCATCCAATACTCATTCTATCTTTTAATAAGATCATAATCAATTTAGAAATTTCAATTATGATATCACAATTCGATAACAAAACAAAACACATTTTGTATTAAGTTCTAATAATTCAAATAACAAAATGTTACATTCGCATTTACCACACAGCTGTTTACTAGAACTTATTTATTTCCAAACACAACCAAATTAATCCTCGCTAAATATTTTCGTATTCTATAATACATCCCTCTCGTGGTCAAATATAATACACAAAGATCGACAGTTCAATATCAAGGGTACAGGCTCAACTTCAACATCATGAAAAGTGTCAATCACGTAGGTTTCCAAATATCAAAACCGATTATCAGGCATATTAAGTCTGTTATTGTTATCGGCAGCTCCGTCCAACGAACCGTGAAGTAGATTAGGGACATCATAATATGCCATATTTTTGCCGTCAGCTGCACGCATCGCATGCACGCCTTCTCAAACGTTCAATTTTTTTGCACTTATTAAATTCTACTTTCGAGTCACGGAATTAAATTTTACCCTCATAACAATTTATGATTTCAAAGAAAAGTATAACTCGAAATTATTATAGAACTTTATGTAGTTAGAGGTTTAGTTAGATAGCTTTAAGATAATTCTTCGTTAGTTAGAGGACAGGCAAACATTAGGTCCAGTTTGTCATTAGCGGAGGCAATGTTTATCCAGTTGTCTTTAAAGTACGTGCATTTAAAACCCGTTGAATAGCCTTAAATGAAGGGGTGTCTACAGTCTTTATGACTACATGTCCGGCATTATTATTCCGGTTATGAATGAGACCCATGATAAACCTGTTTGTAATAAGAGAATATTGAGAAGAATACGTATTTTTGTGAGTGACCTGTGGAAATAAAATTAAAAGTAAACTAAGTCCTTGAAATACGATTCTCTTATTACACCATCATCTTTTCATCATATCATCCGTTCTATTGTTAAAATTAAAGGACCTCTCTTAAAAAGATATCTTTTTAAACTTTCAATTATTTGAAGTAATAGTATCACTTATTAATATTTCTCAATCTCTTAAACTTATTTCAATAAATGAAAACAGATATTCAATCATATCGTTCATATCGTTGTGAAAACTATAAGCAAACGTTTACGTTCGCGACGGATTTCAAAGTCCAAACGGCCTAGGAGTCTGTGAGGCAAATGTCCGTGCTAGTGGTGAACAAACAAAAAGCGTACGACGATTTGAAAGAAGGCGCTCACTCAGCCGGGCAAGTGAAAAGGGTAAAAAGAAACGCACAATAAGCGAAGGCAGCCACGTCCGGCGCAGTCGAAACTTGTACGCGAACCGCTTTGACTAGTGACCATGTCGCAGTTAAACCGAATACGATTGTTTGTTTCGATGTCTAGAATTTTTATTTTATTATAACATAGTGTGAATAAAAGTCAACTAGAAAACGTTTAAAATTGGAACGGAAAACTGGAATGAAAACCATGGAACTTACGCCTGTTATCGTGTACTTTTAAATGTACGTGTACTTGATTATCTTCGCTAAGACTACCGTTATTACCAACTAAACACATTTGTATTGTTTATTTAGTGTCGTTTTTTTGTACAAAGTTTATCATCAAAAGATACGGCAATAAAAATAATACCATTTATTTAAAAGCGCAAGTCACGTCTTGTATATTGTTTCTTTGGCGGACGTATTCAAACACCATGTAATATAAGTCTAATCGAAGGAGCACGTCTTCCGTGTCCCGGTGGGAGATGACATTACTTATTTCATCCTCCAGTGTACCGCAAAACATTTTGTTTGAAATTTGGTCACGTAGCGGTGAAGCGAAGGGTGTCCCATATCGTATCTCCAGACCATTGCGATCGTCCATTGTATTCTCACGAGACAAAGGGTTAAGGACACGAAGGCAGCTAACCTTCGTCAAATGCTTTTTGGTAGCAAACGCTCAGGTATTTGCGGCCGATCGGTTCGTTTAACTCAGTAGCATTTGTACGAATTTGTACTTGAATTCCATTCCATACCAAGTACACTCCACTGTCTTATTAGCGAAGCTTCAGGAATAAGTAAACATACAAATTAACATGGTTACAAAACGAAAACAGAATAACCACTTAAAATCGGAGAGTTCAAAAGTTTGCATTGGATTTACAGCACTCTCAAAGGTTAACGCGAGCAAGCCGACGCAACGGACTGTTCAACAAATAATGCTTTTGCTTATTCTTTCGCCTTTGAAATGCGCTGCTGCAAAATTTAGTTATTCAAATGTTGCTTTTGCTCACGTAAAAGGGTAAAGCCAATCTGAGATGTGAATTTCGCTTCGACGAAAGTGCACCAAGTGCTGTTAACATTTTTGTTTTCCTCATTTATGTTACTTGTAAACGAAATTGGTACAATCAATGTCAGGAAGAAGTTCTTTAATATTTATTACATGAAGTTACAACGAATCATGATAAAATGCGGTAACGGTCTATATATTGATTGCCGTGTGGCCACCAAGAGACCTTGAACTGTCAGTCTTTAAGATTCAGGTTAAGTCCACATGGCAACGCCACCCGTTGACAATTGTTCACAAGCAGTGCCTGAGCAGATGCAGTAATTATATTATTATCCATTTCAATATTTCATACACCCTATATGGGCCCTATTTTCTTATAATAGATTGTTGATGATTTAATTTAATATTCGTGCCAGCAGGTTTTATGGCAAAAATTAAAACATTATTAAATAAACAACAACTTCTTGAAAAAGCCTACCAGTTCCCGGAATTTACGTTGACTATATAAATGTAAGCCAATTAACTGTTATGCGTGCACTTTACATTTTTGGCTTCGTGAATGTTTTGAATGAAATCGTTTCAAGGGAAGTATTTTGATGTAAACGCGATAGTGTTCCGAGTCGGAGGAAAACAATGCGAGCTTCGGCCGGTCAACATTCCATTAAAATAAACTATGACCTATAAAAATTATGTGCGAATTTATTCGGACCTGCAGCGCGAAAAGTAAAACATTTTATTCGAATTATGCAGTCGAAGTCAGTAGGAGTTAAATTTACATTTAAACAACGTTGTTACGAAGTTTATTTTACAAAGTTGTTAGAATTTTATTCTCTATTTCCTTCTATGTTCTCTGTTATGATATTTATCGACACTTTGAATTTCGTTATGAGCTCCAACTTTCATATTTTTAAACAAGATAGTAAAGTTTTGGAATAATTTAAAATGACAATACGAGTACATAGAGCACCTTTTTTCCTAATGATTTCCATCTATGCTAATATTACAATGAGGAAAAATTTGTTTGTTTGATTGTAATGATAATGCTCAAAAACTACTAAGCTGATTTAAAAAATTGTTTTACCGTTAGAAAGGTAATTTATCTGTAAGTAAAATAGGCTATATTTTTTCATTTCTTTTTTATTATTTCACGCGAATGGAGTCGCGGGCAAAAGCTAGTCATATATAAAACTAATGGCAACTTAAAATAAATACATTAGAATATCTTCATAAATGTTTTATTACAATATTTAAAACGAGCATTCGCCCGCGACTCCGTCCCCGTGAAATTTAAAAAAATGGGTAGCTAATGTGTTCTTACAGACTATTCCCTGTATTTACCAAATTTCATCGAAATCCGTTCAGCCGTTTAGCCTACATACTCTAACAAACATCCATCTAAACTTTCGCATTTATAATATTAGTACGAATTT